ATCCATCCTAAGGGATCAAAAAGGCGAGAAATTTCCGATATGACCTTTCTTTTAGTGATTGGGTCAGAGTGTTGGTGAAATGTTACAGAATATTTGAAACAATCATGTTCCTTATCCCAGGAAATGCCGAGTACCTTCATCACTGCGGGTAATTTTAATTCTACTACCTTGTCTCGACATTTGTTTGCTTCACTAAGGCCTTTTGTCAGTTCTCTACTATTGGTCGTCCACTTTTGTAATTCAAAACCTCCTCTTTCAAGCAATTCTGTCATTTCTTTGTAGATCCTCATTCCTTGCTCCACAGTCTGACAACCTGACATGAAGTCATCTACGTAAAATTCTTCTTTTAATTTTTCAGCGACTAAAGGAAAAGATGCTCCTTCATCGTGTACCAACTGCTGCAAACACTTCACAGCAAGATAAGGTGCACATGCAGTTCCGAATGTCACACGTGTTAATTTGTAATCCTTTATTTCAGATTCTAGATCACTCCGCCAGAGCAGTCGTTGAAAATGTGTGTGTTGAGGAGTAACTATGACTTGCCTATACATCTTAACAATGTCGGCACAAAGGACAATTGGATGTAACCGCCATTTCATTACAATTTGACGCAGGTCTGGCTGAATGGTAGGACCAACCATCAGTGTATCATTAAGGGACACACCATTGGACCCCTTGGAAGATGCGTCGAACACAACTCGGACCTTGGTCGTCGTTTTATCCTCCCGAACTACGGCGTGGTGAGGTAAGTACACAGCCTCCGTTCTCTGAGTGTCCGTTTCGGGATTGATTACTTCCATATGACCAAGGTCGAGGTATTCTTGAATGACCTCAGTATACTTCTGTTTCATCTCTGGATCCTTCTTAAAACGACGTTCAAGAAGGTGAAATCGTCGAAGCGCAATGTCTCTGGTATGGCCGTATTTGCACTGTGGGTCTGAGTCTCTAAATGGTAAACTGACAACATACCGACCAGTGCTGTCTCGTTGAGTGGTTTGCTTGAAGAAGTCTTCGCATAACTGTTCTTCCTGGGTAAGTATTTTCTTCTTACTGTATGCGTCAGATTCGATTTCCCAAAATCTTTTAAGCATTTCATTGTCACTGATCTGCGAATGCATGCTTACCAATGCCGGGTGACAATGTGCTGAATCCAAATTCGAATCTCTGTGTGTTCGACCAGACAAAATCCAACCTAACCGTGTATTTTGTGCTATCAAGGGTCCAAGAGGGTGCTTGATTAAACCCTCTTTGAGTACCTGGCCATAAACTTCAGCTCCAAGCAAAATATCGATTTTGTTTGGATTGTGGTACTCTGGATCTGCTAAAACTATTTCTTCTAGTTGATGCCACGTTGGCACTAATACTTTATCACCTGGAAGTAACGATGTAATATTGCCCAAAACATATGCCTGAACTTGGATGTGAAAATTAGGATCGTGACGTGATTTAATAGTTACGAAAACGATAAACTTGGAGACCATAGCTCCACCGTCACCTCCTATGCCTGAAATGACACCTCTTGCGGGTGTCTTTTTGAGTCCAAGTAACTGAACTGCTGATTCGGTTATGAACGACGTCTGGGATCCTTGATCCAATAACGCCCTCAGCAGGTGGTTGTATCCGTTGCCTGTCTGTGCTTCGACAAGAGCGGTTGCTAATAAGACCTGATTTGGAACAGCCTTCTTACTAAAGTGAGTGGTTATAGCGGCAGCATTTAATTCCTGCACCGCATCGGAAGCAGTACTCGATGTAGCTACTGCCGACTTGACTACTGACGTCGTCTCTGCAATGCCTCTAGACGACGTTGATCCTGAGGATTCCTTAGGGTGTAATAAAGGAGGTGTGTTTGCGATTGCAAATCTGACAAGTGGTGGGGACACGACAAAACTTAATAGAATGATTCGACCTTAAACAATTAAAGGCATAAGCCACTAGTTCGAACGAAATCACTACGTGTTTTATAGTCATTTTTACAAAACTGTTTACAGTGACTAAGTTTGTGGGGTTGTTTACAGAATGGACAGCTTGCTTTAATAGGGGTATCGTTTTTGGAAGCAACCGCATGAAGAACTCTTGGTTTGTAACTTGACCTTTGTCTACCACTCTGTGTGTCCAAGTAATCTAATGACCGAAATCGAGACTCTAGAAACGTTTTAAATTTGTCAAATGTTGGTAATTCCTCACAGGTACCAACCGTTGACTCCCATAATTTTCGTGACTCGCTATCTAATTTTTCGCTGATTAAGTATATTATTATAACATCCCCAAGAGTCAACGCCAACACCAATAGTGGGAATAGGCCATTATGCAGTCTACAGTTGTGTCCAAGAGCTCCTTAATAGCGCCTGCTGATTCCAAAATATTCGATTGATTTATTAATCTCTTTAACATAGCGTTACACAAATACCGCTTGTTGTCATAACGCTTAGTTAGCAACTGCCAGCATTCCTGGTAATTGGCAGCTGTGACTGGAGTGTGGCGCAAACAATTGTTCTGCCTCACCCGCCAAATGACCTTTTAAATAATGTAACTTCTGTACATCATCAATTGCATCGTTGTTGTGAATTAGCGATAAAAATAGATCACGAAATGATATCCATTCTGTATATTTTCCGAAAACATTGGAATAACGACTTTAGGTAATTTAACATTATTATACATCTTTATTACCGGTTGCTTATCTGAACCCTTAGTCGGCTTTGCAAGTTTTGAAATGTGTTCTCTCAACTCTGATTTGTATAAAATATAACTTTCTTCGGTGCTATCGTATGTATCTGCTTTAAAATAATTATGTTCATTATCTTTTGCAAGTTCTACTATCTTCTATGTTGTTCTACAAAAGACTTCCATTGTTGTTCCAAAGTTTCCAATCTGGTCTCCAGGATACGAAAGGTGTTAGACGTTCTTTAGGCGATTTTTTATAATTTACTCTGCCCTTCTCAATGGAATTCTTTGCATCATTTTGCAACTTTATTAATGCTTCCATGTTGAAGTTAGAAGTTTTTGCTTGAATGCGTCACTCACTTACTCCAAATTTACAATACTTCTTAATTTCTCCGATAGGGGGCGCTTGTAACTCCTCCACACCACCGCTATTATTCGCCTGTATTGTCCGCTTCAATGACACTCCGCTGTATAATGCGCTTTCAACACGCTGCTGACAGCCAAGTGACTCCACACCCGTGGCGCCCTCTGCTGTTGACGGAATACGTCGCTGAGGCCTCTTCGTGGCGCTAAGCGGCGGCAGCACTTCAGAGCGATCCACTCTGATTTCTATGCTGGTGAAGCACTGAAAATTGCACGCGTCGACACTACCGCGCACTGTATCCGGCTGAGAAGGACCATGTACAAATGGATCCCCAGGAGCCTTAATTAAAACCACTGACTCTTTACAACTAGTTTCATTAATCACTAGGTAACACTGTACACAATAAGTAAAAGGATGTTCGTTCAATACAAAGAAATCAAATCAATTTATATTGATTGCGGTAACGAAACCATAACGCGATTTAGCCAAACGGCACAGCGACATCTATCGAAGAGCAATGTAACATATTTCAATTTATACACATACCATCTATCAATGTGAGGTAATGATTATTAGTCTGTACCAGAGACTCCCGGACAGTCAAATACTATGAAAAGACATACAAGTAGCTGCATTTTCTGGGCAATGCATTTAAACAGTTCATACATATATTATAAACCACCTGGTACCCGCGACTTGGAATTTGAAAAGCGCTGCCTTAGTGGGGTCGATTCCCGGACCGGATAAAATTTTTTAGGGTTTTTTTTAGAGGAAAACTAGCCTAAGTTACTCCTTATATAGACAGGTACCTGGTTGTAAGATATTATCAATATGGATAAACTCGCTTAGAAGATTACCCGGAAAAAAGAGACACACAGACAGAGAAAAAAAAATAAACTGGTTTTTAGGCATGCAAATAACCGTGTGAGCATGATAAAACTCTATTATTTCGACAGTACAAACAGACATTTTAATTTTATTTATTTGTATAGATGTGAAAGTGAGTTTGCTTGTTTGTTTGTATGTTACGCTTTCACACCTAAAGTACTAAACAGATTTAAAAAATTCTTTCACCAATGGAAAGCGATTTTGATCTCACTTTCGAGATAAAATGTCTATAATTGTATTAATTTCTAGCCGAATAAAATAAACTGTTACTGCACATAAACAGTCTAAGATATCGTTCGGATACAATGTCACAGATTTCTACACTACCCAAAGGTTGGCTGGTAGAGAATTCGAAGTACGCCGATGTACAAAAATTCATAAAGTTGTAAATAAAAATAGATTGCTTAAAATACGTATTCGTATTCGATCCAATAGATGTACCACGTACATTCACACACCTTCCATATTTTTCTTGGCTTCATTCATAGAGTTCAATGGGTAATAGGTAGTAAGCTTACAATTACGAACAGGAGTATCTTTTAAAATAATACTTAGTCTATGTAACCGTATGTGACAGCGTTATCCAGAACTAAAAGTCAACACTTTACGCGACAAAACAGTATACACATGTGTGTACCACCAGCTAAGTTCTTTTTTTACATTATTTTCCTCACCATGGTGCGGTATAAAACGAAATCCCTGGGTGATTTGATCTCTAGTCCGATTTCGTTCGCTTCTATATTAAGAACGCCGTCGTCTGGCCTCGCTATGCGCGCACGCAGTTCAAACGCTCACACAAAAACCAAACGTAGTACATATTATATTTTTCCAACGATTCCGAATATTTCCGAAATAACTTGAATGTTTAATGAAGTGGAGTGAAAGTATAATTTTTTGACATTTTGACAAAAATGGTAAGTATTTAAAAATAGAATGTACCTACTTGAAACCGCCATTTTTATGTTTAAAAAAAAAATGGTTCGCGTAACATTTTGCCTGTTATATTAATTGGTTCTCATTTTAATTTCAGTCTGTAAAGTGAAAACATAGTGAGTTTAACTTGTGATAACAAGAAGACCCCAAGATGAAGTTCACTATTGACGTTTTGGGAATTTTTCTTAAAGTCGTCATAAGGGTAAGTGGAAAACAATATTCTTGTAACTAAAAATAAATTGTAAATCAATCCTCAAACGTCCTTTTTATAATTAGTAAGCAATTTAAAAAAAAAGGATAAAATAGGGAATAAATAAAGGATTTTATGAAGTTAAAGATGACTTATGGTCGTGAATGTGAGGATAGGTGTGACGTAGATTTGATTGACGTAAGAACTATATGAATGTCATTGCCATTCTGAGGATATCTTCTCTATTTTCATTTCATTTCTTTTCTTACGTTTTTTTACTTATTTATTTTCATCTATATGTAAAAAGAATTGCTTTGTGTACGCTTCAAAAACTCCAAAAGTTCTGCACCAATTGAGCTAGCGACACAGAACGTCGGTTTCGATTGACATAGTTTGTTACTCTAGCAAAAAGTAGGTAGGTATTAAATATGTTATTAATTCTATAGAGATAATGTCATCAGGTCAAATATAATAATTATAACCAATTAAACAACAAGGTTTAATTAAACTTGTTTTCCTTTATAAAGATTAATTAAATTGGATAGACAATAAACCTTTTCTAGTAATTGGCAACCACGTTTATGTAGAAAAAGAAATTGAAATGGGCCCAGCACTGAAATTAAATATCTGTAAGTTAAATTTTATAAATATTGCCGTTCTTTTGAAATTCTTGTTCATGTCTTGACAGAGGCCGGGAACGTCTAACTACTTTTGTTTTTTCTTTGAAATGTTATAGAATAATGTATGAATAGAAAACAAAACAAAAGAACCCAATATTAGTTTGAGTTTATGACATGTCAGATGTTATGTATCATAGAAGAAGGAAAACTTGAAACAAAACCTATACTAATCCGTCTGGCCAGCGTCAAACCACCTTGCTAGGGAAAGGCATATGTCCAACAGTGGACTATCAGAAGTTGTAGATGATTGATGAATATCAGACATCCCACCTACACTTTAACAGCGAGCCCTAGCATCGTTCGCGTTTATTGGTTAAATCGCTCTGTCAAACGTGGACTGTTGATGGCGATCTGATTGATTCATTATTAAATTAAAATATTTTTGGATTGAACATTAGGGACTGCTATTTTGAGTTGCTGACTTAGCTTGGCAGTTTGTTATGTAGTTCTTCGGTCACGTGACTATGTTTAACTCCCATCTCGTCTCAATATACTAAAAATACTGAGTTAACTTTTTAGCTCAAGAATTCAATCGTTAGTTTTGTGGAGTATTATTTTACTGTAGACCCTTTTTACAATTAAGAAAGTTCGAGAAAAATATTTTATAAAAACTAAGTAATGATAAATATGTCTGAATAGGAAGCACGCCAAAACGTTGCCGAAAACAGAAAACTATAAAACCTAATAAATCTGCTACATCTGCTGCCTTGTTTACTCAGGGACAGTACTCTTGCGTGCCCAAAGAGCCATCGAACGATGACAGCGTAAAATAATCCGTAACCTCCTGGAGCGTTGGCCTTAGGGTATCGTGAGGATGTCCTTAACCTTAGCAGAAGCAGTACTAAGAAAAGTTTTACGCGGGACTTTGATGATAGGGAATAGGCATGCATGGCATTTCCATAGAGATGGGAATTTGAAAATTTAATGTAAATATAATATAAATATAGGTCGGTTCCTTTGGTATAGCCGAATACCAATAAATCCGATTCGGCGCACTGTGTGGTTTTGACTGGTTCGATGCCGAAATAAGGCTTTAACTATAGCTACAATAAGGCTCTTAGCTCTTAGAAGTTACCATACTATAAAAAATTAAATAGCTTAAACAGTAATAATAATATTAATAACCTCATACATCTTGAACACAGCCGTCTAATCTCAAACTAGGCAGAACCTGTGCTGTTGTAACCAGACTGCTAATAAACATGCTTATATAATTCTAAATACACACATATTACAGATAAATAACACCCAGACATAGACTAAATAATCTAAGCACGAACCCGCGACCTCTGCCCGTCAACATCAAAATAGTGACAGTGTCAAAAGAGGTTATGTTTAGTTCTAGTATATTCAAAGCGTGATGTTTCAGAATTAGTTTGTTGCTATCCAAAATAGATTTACGTATAAGTAATTTAAACGTTTTATGCATGAACTTGCCTAAGCCACACCAAACAATGCATACGAACATTTTTGTTCATATAAACAATCGCTAAACGCTTCTTGAATAGTAATGCTCCTCTTTAAAGCCCTTTTACATTAGTCACCCTTTGTTTTATTTATTCCGGTACCGGAATTGCGTTTATTAAAGTCGTAGTCGATAAATTTCCCTGATTGAAATGAATTAAGGGTTGGGAGAATCATTTTTTGAATACACTGACATACCTTAATATATTATGAGAGATACGATAGGCGAGTTCTTAAGTATTAAACTAGTAATACACAAGTATTATTTTTTATTAAAAGTGATAAGGATTTCCTAACCCACGTCTTACAAGTAACATACCTTAAAAATAACAGATTTTTTGACACTTATGAAAACTAATCTAATTGCAAACATTATATTACAGGGTTAGTTTAATGCATTTATTTGTTTAAGTTAAAGATAACATTGCGCACTGGTAACATTGATTGGCTAATAGAAAGCACAAATCAAAATGACATTAATTGAGAATAACAGAGGACCTATTCTCGTAATGAAAGTTCGGCCTCAATTCGAATGCGATCCACTTTCGATCTCACACCTGTCATAAAAGGTATTTTCGTAGTAAAGTATTAAACATCCAATATTGACTGTAAAGTGATTATATCGTATTATAACCGAAAATTGAATCAGTAATCTACTAGTCTTAGTCATACTTTCCTATTTTACTACGAAAATACCTTTTATGACAGTTGTGAGATCGAATGTTGATCGGAACTGAATTGTGACCGAACTTTTATTACGAGAATTGGCCTTCAGATCTCACTAAGGGGTATAATGCCAAAAATATACCTGCGACGGTTATCTGTCAGTAGTTTAAATACACGCTGAATTTTTTTATTATGCTACATCTTTGAATCATCGTTTATCAATATATCTAATAGTAACCCTTCATTAATATGTCCTTTATTTGAGGAGATCTGAATTTTAATGAACCGACGGCGACGGGACAATCATTAAATGTTTGACAAGAAGAAACAAATAAAATTGTTTTATTTTTTTATTTTCCTTACATTTTCTATATTTTCTCACCGTTTAAACACTTTCAACAAATGTTTCAAGGCTAAAACTAGCCAAATTGGACCAGGAGTCCTCGAGTTTCAGCCAGACCGCAATTCATTATATTATAAACATAGATAATTAGTTTATTGTTAACTAATAATTCCTTGAACTATAACATTAATTTTATAAATATTATTAATATTATAATGGATAAGATAATATTAATTTGTTTACTAAATATTAAAACCTTAAGCGTAATAATTATTGCAATTGATTTATCTCCAGCGACTAAAAGAAGGCTAGTGTAAAAGGCTCTTAGCAATTACAATTGATCTAAGGGGAATATACAATGAGGATATATTCATTAGATAGATACGGTCCTCGAGTCTAGTCCAGTGAGTATCGGTTTATATTACAGTGAAGTGTAATGTGTTGTGAACAATCAAAATGATGCGTAAAGACATCGTCTGGTTGGCTTTATTTGGAGGATTTTTTTTTATTAAGGTATCTTGTTTTTTTTTAAACTTATTAAAAATAGACGGTCGATTTGGAAACCGATGATTTTTTAATCATCTCGGGGATAGGTACTTTTAAAAATTGGTTATTTTAAAATTATATGAGAAAATAGCATAGATTTTGAATGATTTTAAAGCCTATTACGTAGTATTCACGTTTTTTGTTTTTGATTTGTGGAATACATCGGATACTTTCACTACATTTGACTGCCTCGGTGTAACGTTTTTAGCGTATGCGACTGCTGTGCTGAGATCTCGGGTTCGATTCCCAGGTCGGACCAAATGTATGTATGATCTGCCAATATTTGTTTCGGAGTTTGGATGTTTTTTTTTGTACGTATGTATTTACAAAAAAAATATATAAGTATTGAATAAGCATCTAGCTTTCATTTTTTGGTAGTTTAACTGGTGGTGATAGTAGTGCTAATTAGATTTAATTTATTGAATTATTATGCAATTTGACAAGACACTACCAGAAAAAAATGCATTCAAAACAATACCTAATTTCCCGTCCACGTGCTAATGCTAAAAATTCAATGAATGATATTAAAAACATATTTATGCAGCAAACAATCCTAAATAGGTGCATTTCTTTTAAAATAGACAATAAAATCCTTTGCACTCTTAATAAATCGCGCCGCGCTCGGTCATCAGTTGTATTACTATTTTAGCACGACGATTTATTAAATTAAATTTAGTCTTCGTGTTGATGCGAACGAGAAAGCACGCGCTGTGTGAATATGAACCGAATGAAGTAATTATTCATCACTAATAGTGACTACCAATGCCCATGGACAACGTAACTTTTTTATTTATTACATAAAACAACTTGACAGAGAAAGTTTACAAAACGACAGCTTCTGGAGAAACCACATAGGTTTATGTTTTTTATTATTGTATTTTTATGGCCTGGTAACAAGACCTTTAAGCCAACTCTTAATTTTTGATAGATAACTTCACTATTTTCACTTCAATTCAATGTTCAAATGGGGATTCTAGGCGGGAATCTGTCTAAAATCCTCCGCCCTTTCAGTTCAAATTCCCGCCTAGAACCATAGGTTTATGTTTGAGCCGTCGAGAGTTTACAGTTTAATATAATGTAAGCGAATGAGGGTAGTAACATACTAACATTTTTCCACTATATGGTACACTAATTATTGTGTGCTTTGAAAACATTACATAAATAAAAAATAATCAAATAACAATGGCTACATTAGGTTAAGGAAGTATTGCTTTAGTTTACATTTAATATCTTTGTCGGTCACACTGTTAACTAATTCATATGGCAAGTTATTAATAAATCGAGGTACAAGGTAGTTGGTGAAACGCTCGTCG